CCCGAGCCGTGCAATTAAGTGGTGGTGGCTGGAGTCGGGTGTTCCCATTCTGGCTACGCATTTTGCTTTGCAAAGCATCTAAAAGTTTGCTTTTGAAGTTACTTCTCCCGGTTTCCAACAAACAAAGCAAGCCACAGGCGCACAACACATGGACACGCTCCACACCAGGTATAGATAGCTCAAAACCAGGCGTGAACAAAATAAGCCATCAGCACCGCTCGGTCCCAGGGACGACCCAGCGGAGCGGGTCTCTTGGCAGTCCTCACCTCTAAAAAAAGGCAACGAATAACCCAAATGCAAGCAAAGCCTGGAGCAACCACTGAGGAACTGGTGGGGCAGCTCACCCGGGAGAAGGAGCACCTTGGAATGGGCAAACGAACCCAGCCATGGCGGGGAGACGTGGGGTCGCTGCCATCCCTGCCCGGGCAATGCCCGCTGCTCACGCGCCAAGACCAAGGATGCTCACCCCGACTTTTTGTGCCAGCTCAGACACTTAAAATATGGGTGCGTCCGATGCCAGAGAGAAAACCCAGGCTGTTTGCCTCTCCACTGAAGGAGTCACCAAATTGCACGGCGCAGGCGGCTGTGCCGATGGCAGCGATGTCCCCCATCTAGCAGCCAATATAACGGGGCTCTGTACAAACCTATAACTGACCTGGGGGGGTCTTTCACTCCCATTTATTTTGCTGACCACCCCCTGCCAGTGAAGGCACGCAGCATCCCCGCCCGGGAACGGCCACTGCTTTGGTGCCCTTGAAACGAGAAGGGGCAGCCCCAAAGAGCATTTCTTAATTCCTTCCTCGGGAATGAAATTCCTCCTTTGGCTTTGCCATCCCACAACACAAAAGTTATCCCTAGTGATCGCAGTCGTAGGGAAGAGCAACAGGCAAAAAGGGAGGTGCCGGGGCTGGCAGAGGTGTCTGGGGAACGGGGACCACCCCATGGTGCCGCACCCCAGCCCCAGGCAGATTTCCAAAGTGGGTTTTAAGATCAGATGCCCAGGTTTACATTTCTGTTAAAAAGACCCCTGAAATTAGCATTCAAATCATTAAATTAAAAAAAAAAAAAAAAGGTGATTAGACCTGACACGTAGGTTTCCAAGCATGCCGGATCTCTGTCTCAAAGCACCTGTGTGCCTGAGACCATTGGATTATTTTTGAGCATTGGCAGCCCGGTGAGGCACAAGAGACCTTTTGTAATCCCTGACATTTAATTTTGGACCCGAGTGACTCTTGCAAATGCAGCGGTGCCCGAGCTCATGTTGACCCAGCAGACAGAAGCAGCTTTACCGGCTGGGCTGGTACAAACGTGTGTTTCCCAGTACAGCACCAGTTTGTGTCCCTCCACACGCACATGTGCAGAGCATAACTGTATTTTCCGTAGCAATTTTATCAGCGCTATGGGGGCAACGCACCCTGAAAGGGGAAGGTCAGAGGAGTCCCTCCTGCTCCTTTCTGAGCTGCCGAAAATAGAAACCCAGAAAGTTCGTCTCAGGGTTGTTTGGTGCATCCCCCGCCCATCCTCTTTTAAAGAAATAAAAAAAAAGAGAAGAAAAAGGAAAAAAAAGAATACAAAAAATAATAAGATAAAGCCCAGAGTAGAAAATCCAGTTGCATCCAGAGTGCGAGGCCGTGGGCGGTCAGGGGCCACAAATGCTGATGTGCAGAGACTACAAAACCAAAGAAAGTTCCCAAATTCCCGTATTTGTTTTGCAGGCTGCTGCTTTGCCATACTCACCCTCCCTTCCTCCTCCTCCTCCGAGCCATCCCCCTCTTCCTCGGATGAGTCACTGCCCTAAAGAGAGGGAAAACCAAGCTGTAGCCGGGCCGGCGGGTCTCCGTTGGTGTCACGAGCACGACGGTCTGAGCCCAGCCTGGCAGAGCAGGGGCAGGTGGGGCGCAGACCGTGCCCCCGTCTCATTTTGGGCCGATATCTCCGCATTTAGCGGCCGGCGAAGCATCACCAACCCCCTCCGAAGCACCCACCTGGTACCGGCGCTGCAGGGGAGGCCCGTAGGCGTATCTGTACAGGTAATACCGGTGCCTGTTCTTGAACACCTACCGGGAGAAGGGGGTAAATCCCATCAGTTTGGGGGTCTGGGGACAGGAGTGACCGAAATGTCCTCGTCCCCAAGGCCAGCGCCGCGTGGGGCTGGGCACGCGGGGTTGGGGGAAGACCCTACCGCGTTTTCTTCCGAGTTGTCCGACTTGGCTCGCCGCAGCCAGCTCTTGACCTGGGGGAAAGGCTGGGTTGGGCAGGGG